TAGTGGTGGGGGGTGGGGGTGGAAGTTTGAGTACAAACTAAATTGCATTTACTTAGGACTTGTGGTTGTTAGTGTGGACACTTATTCAAACTTTAAACGCTGAGTTAGAACTTCACCTAAATCTTCTGGTTTACAACTCTTCTCTGAAAAATGTTATGCCATGTATTGCAAACCTGATAAGGTGCTTTTGAGGCAGAAAAAGAAAACAAAAGAAAACAAAACAAAACCCCCCCAAACAAAATCAGAAACAAGAGTTGTGCCCTGCTAATTTCTTAAAGTTGCAGGGGAGAGGGTGTTTTTGGAGGTTTTGCTGGTTGGGGGAGGTTGGTGTTGATTTGGGTTTTGGTGGAGGTTTTTTTAGCAAATATAAGAGATTAAACCAGTAATGATACTTGGAAGCCACTTAAATGGAACTTAGAAGTGCCTTGTTCTGTATTTTGAGTCAGCTGTTACCATCCATGCCTTGTCTCCTGCTGCAGACTGAAGTTCCCAAACTTTTTTCATGTGTGATAGTTCAACTGGGAACGGGTCTCTGCATTCAGAGGAGAAAAAAGCACCTCCAAATTTCAAGGGTAACTGCTAGTCACAACATTATTCTCAAACTTTTAGTTACAGCTAATAGAAGGGAAATATTCATACAAGCAGGTTTTTTTTTTACCTCGTGACAATGAAAATATCATTGCTTCAGTCTTGAAGTGTCTCATAAAAGGGAAGGAGAGCAACAGAAAACATGGGCTGAGGGTTCCGAATACTTCACTTTCAGAACAAGTATGGTGCGTTTGTTAGCCAGATATTCTCCATAATTTTGAATATACGGATAATCTCACAAAAGAAAAACAGGTACAACAGAAACATTTCTCTATCATTCTCTATCATGCCTGACAAAGAAAGTCAGAACTGGAAAAATACACACACCTTCCTGTTCCACCAGGCCTTTTGTCCTGGCTGCATTCTTCATCTGTGCAAGCACTGCCAGGTCTAGATGTTTCTAAGGAGACTTAACAGTGTTTAAATGTTTACTGTATTGGTGTCACTTGTAGAGGGACAAACCACAGAGGCTGAGCAATCACATTAATACCATGCTCACACGCTCTGCAGCAGCTTGCTCTTCACATTCTGATGAGGAAAGTGCTTCTGTACCGGATGTCTTCTACCTGCTGCTTGGGTACATGCTGTAGCAGATTGTTGAAGCAGGCTGGCTTTGATAGATTAGTGATCTAAAACCTCTTCTGACAGTACAGTCGCCCGTACTGCTTTTTGCAGTAAACATCGCATTAATGTCTGCATTATGCCTGAGCTGGTTTAAGACGACTTGTTGGACACTACCTTTATTCCATGATCTGTAAGAATGGTATGCAGGCTTTTTTTCCTTCAGTGATCAGTGCCACTCAACCTAATAAAGTCTCTGTATTTCTTTGCATCTGGCCTCAGTCCTTATAAACATAACTCTGAGGTGACAAAGTGTGCTGATGATACTATTCACCTCCTTTTCCACACAATTACAAACATGCCAGAACGGACTGAGGATGTTAGTAAGATGCTTGTTGAACCTCCCAGTGGTGGGAGAACTGACTGTGTTCTCCTGCCCTCCTTTTCTAGTCTTTTAGCTTTGTTTTATCCATGTTAGAACCCTTCCTATAGCTTTCTTTAAGTACCAAAGTCTTTCTTCAGAGGCTCTTAAAACTTCCATAAGGAATTTACTATCAATCATAATAATGTAACATTCAAATATCTTGGATGTTTATTGGATATATTGCATTGGATGTTTCTTCCAGCTCTTCATTATCACTGAAACATACATTTCTGTCTGAAACACAAGTGTTTTACTTAGCTGGTTATATGTTGTCATCGGATATGGTGATACTAACATACTTAATGTAATTGAAAATCCAGGGACACCGCTGATTATTTTTCAGTGTATTTTAGTATCATTTTATGTAAAAAGATTTGTCTTTGCATCTCTACGGAATAGACAATCTGCAAAGTAACAGGAGCAAGTTAAATAACAAAATCAAGTTTGGGAACACACAAATCAATAGCATTTTTGTAAATCAGAGAGTAAAAGTTTAGATTCATTTAAAACTAACCTTGGTCATGTGATGATTTCTTACCAGGTAGTTCCTACTGAGCTTATTGCAATGGCAGAAAGATACAAACAATTTCAAAACAGAAAAGAAATTGAAAAGGGTATACAAAGATCTCGGAGAAAGACCTCAGAATAACTAATCCCTTGAAGTTACTGAAACAAAGTAAGTGTTTATAGTTAGTGTTGGTATCTACAGGCTTGAATTTAGAAGTTTCTCTTCTTGGTTGATTGTTTTCTGTAACTGTTGCATTTAAAATACATTCTAAAAAGTGGCTTAAAAAAGAAAAATGGATAAACTTTATATAGAAATCTAGTTTTGCATTTGGGCACTATTTTTATTTAAGAAAAATTAATTTCATTTTTTCTTGTGTCATGTGCGTAACTTCTAAAGCCATTATCTACTGGTTAAAAACAAATCTTCTGGATTTGTTGGGTTTTTTTAAATGTAGTGTTAAGATATAAGAATGTAAAACATAATTATTCCTTTTATTTTCAGAGAACTGGATTACTGAATGTAAGCAATGTTTGTCAGTGTGACTACACATACTGTACTTTTGCACTGATATGCCACATCTGCCAGTGGCATGCAGAAGTATTTCCAAGGATAACTTAGTTATTTGAAAACGGCTGTGTTTGCAGTAAATGATGTCTTGTTTGGTTGGTTGGGGTTTTTAATTTTAAAACTTAACATTGAAGGTAATTTTTGTTAAGACTTGTGTCTCCAGCTTTTTTTGAAAGAAGTCTGCATTTCCTCTGAATGGAGGAGACCATAACAATAAGTGTGTGTTTGTGGCTATCTGGGTAAAAAGACAACTTCTACTCTTGTTCTTGTGGATGTAAGTTTCTACTTTACAGAAGAAAAAGAATTTATTAGACCAATGTTAACAAAGTCATGAAGAAAAAAATACATTTGAAGGTCAGCTTTTGTTTCAGAAAGCATTGATTCCAGTTTTACATTTGAATGTCAGGTCCTGTCACAGACTTGTAATGATAATGGGATATGGTTTTACTCCTAGGAAGTTACATGGGAAGGAGCTGTTCCTTCATTTGATGCTTGGTCTAAACTTGTGTTTACTCATATAAGTAAATGAAAAACTAATAAACTTAATCTAGTGAGATGAGAATATTTTAGTAAAATTATTCTCCAAATGTTCTTCTGACCTTCCATCTTTTTTTATTTGCTCATAATTGAGGTGAAACCTGGGCATTATTTAATCTAATAGGTTATTTTGCCCTCAAAAGTAGGCTAAAACTATGGAATTCCCACAGCTCCTTTAAGAAAAAGTGCACCCAGGTCCTTGAGCGAGAACAAGCCCACAAATGGGTTTAGGTTTTCCCAGGGCAGGAATAACACAGTCTGTCTTCCCTAACATATTCTTCATGCACACTCCATTGTGCCCTTCTACAGTATGTAGAAGTTTTGACAGGGCAGGGCTAGCTCGATGGGCAGATGCCCTCGTGTTGACTAAGCAGGTGTCTTTTGCTAAATGTGTATCCTGGTGTTTGATGGTCCCACCCCATGTTGCTCTCAGTGTAGTTTTTATCATGCCATTGTATTGTTCAGTTTTTCCAGAGGCTGGTGAATGACAAGGGATGAGATTTACCCACTTGATACCATGCTCTTTGGCCCAGGTCTGTAGGAGGTTGTTTAAGAAGTGAGTCCCATTGTCTGACTCAATTCTTTATGGGGTGCCATGTCACCATAAAACTTGTTTTTCAAGGCCCAGGATATTGTTCCAGGCAGTGGCGTGGGGCACGGGATATGTTTCCAGCCATGCAGCGGCTGCTTCCACCATTGTAAGCATGTGGTGTTTGCCTTGGTGAGTTTGTGGGGGTGTAATATAGTCAATCTGCCAGGGCTCCCCCAATTTGTATTTCAGCCATCATCTTTCATACCACAGAGGCTTTAAATGCTTTGCTTGATTGATTGCAGTACATGTTTCACATTCGTGGATTACCTGTGCAATAGGTCAAGTCCACCCCTCGCTCCTGAGCCCATCTATATATTGTGCATCTCTTCCTTGATGGCCTGAGGTGTCAAGGGTTCACCGAGCTGTAAATAATTCACTCTTTATGTTGCCAGTCCAAATTCACCTGAGCTACTTCAACTTCAGCTGCCTGATCCACCTGCTGGTTGTTTTTATGTTCTCCAGTTGCCTGACTCTTAGGGACGTGGGCATCAACATGACATACTTTTACAGTCAGCTTCTCTAGCCAGGCAGCAATATCTTGCCACAATGCAGCAGCCCAGATGGGTTTGCCTCTGCAGTGCCAGTTGCTCTGCTTCCACTGCTGCAACCACCTCCACAGGGCATTTGCCACCATCCATAAATACATAGAGAGATAGCGCACTGGCCATTTTTCTCAGCAATATCTCAAGCCAGCTGGATGGCTCTCACTTCCACAAACTGGCTTGATTCACCTTCTCCAGCGGTTTCTGTGACTTGCCGTACATACATAGAGCTGCCTTGCACCTCCAATGCTTTCCTACAATGCGACAGGACCCATTGGTTGAACAAGCCATATTGCTTCTCATTTTCTGGCACTTTATTATACAATGGGGCTTCTTGAGCACGCATCACCTCCTCATCTGGTGATACTCCAAAATCTTTGCCTTCTGGCCCGTCCATGATCACGTCTAGAATTCCTGAGCAACTGGGGTTTCCTATTTGAGCCCACTTATTCCACACAGCATCAGCTGCATGGAGTGTAGAGGGGTCCCTCCCTCTGACCATTCAGCCCAGCACTGGCAGTTGAGGTGCCAGGAGGAGCTGTGATTCAGTATTAACCACTTCTGAAGCACCTTGAACCCCTTCATATGCTGCCAATATCTCCTTTTCAGTCATAGTATAGCAGGCCTCTGATCCTCTATGCCCCCGACTTTAAAACCCCAGGGGTCGACCTCAGGTCTCCCCCTGGTGTTTTCTGCCAGAGAATCGAGGTAGGGCCATTCCTGTCCTGCCCTAACCAGCCCAAGGGCTACTGCATGAACGATCTCACCTTTAATTTGTGGAAAGGCTTGTTGTTGCTCAGGGCCCCATTTGTAATAATTTTTCTTCTGAGTAGCTTGATAGAGAGGGATTACAGTCAACTGTAATTTGGGATATGCATTTTCCAAAAACCCACAATACCCAGGAAAGCTTATGTTTCCTTTTTACTAGTTGGTGGAGACACAGCTGCTATCTTGTTGATCACATCCACTGGGATCTGACAACACCTGTCTGGCCATTTTATTCCTAAAAACTGCATCTCCTGTACAGTCTTTTGACTTCAGTTTATGTCAAAACTGGCCTTCAGAAGGATTTGAACTATTTTCAGGAAGAGAGAGAGAGAGAGAGAAAGATACCACCACCCATGGATCTAGCAGCATCCCATTGGTCCTCTTGATTCTTGGTGTCTTAGTGGTGGGGGGTCCCCCCCCAGATTCTGATGGTACCATTTTTATACAGTCCAAGTCCCAAAGTCTCCACTCAGTTCCAGGAAACATCATGCATATGCATGGTGGGCATGGCATCACATGATGGTAGGTGTGGTCCAGCTCGGTGCAGTGTGTCCCGGGTGGTTGCAGAGAGACTGTTCTGGGGGTTGCATCATGCAAGACCATCCTCAAAGTCAGTGACCTAGCACCTTACACCTGCACAGTTAGTTGTTGGCAGGCATTAAATCCACAGGTTTTTGCCTAGTTCAGAACCACAGAATGTATTGCTGAGTCCTACATCCCCAGGGCCGGAAACTGGTGTCTTGTTTGTTTGGTTCTACCTCCGCAGGGCTGGAAATCGGTGTCTCATTCTTGCTTGTGGTTTTCTCTGTACCTAAGACAAACGTCTGCACATCTATCTGCCACAGTCTCCACTCTCCATTAGTTTTTCACACTGGCCATATGAGACTGTTAAAGGGTGAGCACGTTTTGCTGAACACCCCTTGGCTCTCCGGTTGACAAATCAGCTTATGGATGGCAATTGGAGAGTCCCGATGGGTGTGATATTGCCACTGGTGCATCGTTGTGGTACCAGTTGGCACCAGCTATTCTTCAGCCTTCAGCAACCCCACAACAGAAGGGTCCTCCGAGAGACCAGGCAAGGTGGACAACTGTTCAATTTCCTTCTTCTCCAAGACCCACTGATACCCTTTTGGGTCCTTGAAGTACCCTCTCCTGAGACAGTCTGTGCCAAGGATGCACAGGGCCTCTGGGCCAGTCACGATGGGGTGTGTATGCCACTCATTCCCAGTCAGGCTCACTTCAGCTTCTGCTACAGTTAGCTGTTGGGATCCCCCTATCCCTACAGAACTACAGATGGGTTCTGCCCCTTTATAGGTTGATGTCATTAGGGTACACTGTGCACCAGTGTCTGCCAGAGCCTTATACTCTTGTGGATCTGACGTGCAAGACCATCAGATCCACACCATCCAATAAACCTGGCTGTCCCCCTCTCTCACCGGGCTGGAGGCAGGGCCCCTCTAATCCTGGTTATAGTATTTGTTGTTCACCTTTTGTAAAGAAGAATCTGAAGTCCCTTCAAGAGGATCAGAAGTGAGATCAGCCCTTCTACTCTGTTTGGGGAACTGCCTGCTGGAAACTGGAGTGGCATCTTTCCAGGATGTTCAAAATTCTCAAAACCTGTTGTAATTAGCCTGAAGGAGAGTATCCCCCCACCTTCTCCACAGATTGTGTGCAATTACTAATAAATTCTGAGAAAGGGCACCCAAGGTATGTAAACGACAATACTGCATACAAATACCATTTAACCTCATGACCAGTGATGTAATCATATCGTAAGTTGACATTACCCAGTAAAGCAAAAAGATGTCTGGATCCCTCTCCCAGAGGTGATAAACATCACCACAAGTAATATGTAGTCTATGTAAGGATTTACATAACTCCACCATGTGAATAAAGGAACCAACACTGTGATCAGCAATTATGTGAATAACAAATCTGTCTTAACATGCTCTGGTGAGATTTTTCCCATTATCTGAACACTCTGACCCCATGTTGCCCCATGTTGGGTGCCAAAAAGACAGTTGTGGTTTAGGCCCAGCCGACCACAAAGCACCATGCAGCCACTGGTGCACTCCTCCCCACAGTGGGATGGGGAAAAAAATTGGGAGGAAAAGTGAAAGTAAAACTCGTTGCTTGACATAAGGACAGTTTAATAGAACACAAGAAGAAAAGAACTGTAACAATAACAATGCAAATAAGAAAAAAAAGAATCTATAAAGCAAGTGACGTGCAATGCACTTGCTCACCACCCAGTACCATGCACTGAGCCCCTCCCCCAACTGCAATCCCCAACTCCTGACCAGCTCCTCTAGTTAGATCTTGAGCATGACAGGCTAGTTCTGGTCACCTACCTTGGCTGTGCCCCCTCCCAGCACTCTTGGGAAAATGAATCCTATCGTAGCGGAACCCAGGACAGTCACACAAATGCATGTTGACACAGTAACATTACTGTGTTGCAGCACATTAGAAAATGCTTGCTTCCTGCCCAAAGTCCAGTGAAAAGACTTAATTTCCAAAGCAATTCTGAAGACTCAGAAAAGATAGGTTACTTCAGGAACTTCATACTGGTTTGATACCATATTCTCTCTCTGCTTGCTGTTGATGGTGATTGTCCTCGGCAAAAAAGTCTCCATCCACCCAGTTGATCTGGAGAGGTTCTGGTTTATGTCAAAGCAACTCCAGTGACTTTTTTTTTTTCTCTTGAAAGCAAGAGTGTATTTAGGATATTCCACAATGGATCCTCAATTTAAATAAAATCTTAATTTTTCACTTTACCCAAGCATTGATGCCTTTATATTTGGAATCATAAAAACTACCTGTGGGAAATTAACTACTGCAAATTCTTCTATACATTCCTAGTACACCTTGAAGATATTTTGCAGGTAACATCTACATTTGGATAGGGAAGATAAATATTACTTAAAACATCCTATTGCTTTCAAGAGTTAGGGCTAAGCAGAATGAAGTATATGAAGTATGCTGTTTTCTCTTGGTGTTCTTGATTTTGTTCTGGGTTTTTGTAGTATCAACTACTGAGGAGTAGTTTAAGGTGCTGTTTTTAAATATTCAAATCTAAAACCACTATTATTGTAAAGAGTTATTGTAAACTTAATACATCTTCTGAAATATTGGGAACCCGTTGTTCAATTCATTGTTTATTTGTCTTAAAAGGAAATCACTGCTCGCTTTATCTTCCAGACTGAGCAAGTTGTATTTGGGGATAAAAAAGTGTGGCAGCTGAGAGTTTTGCAGGCAATGCAGAAAATATCCCAGATATTTCTGAAAGCAGTGATCCAGGTCTCCCACATGCCAGTCTGTGTCATTTGGCCACATGACACATGAGTGGAAAAAAGCAGTTTTGACGTGGTATGAACAGAACTTCTCCAGTTCTTTTGTATATTCCATTTTAAGTTGCTCTAAAAGATACTTCAGAAGCTTAAGACAACTTTTCCTGTTAAATAAATAAGAATTTATTAGGTACCTTCTACATAGTTCTAAAATACGTATTTTAGATATGTTAATACACGTTATTCATGAAAGCAATATAAATGTTCTTACTGTAAGATAACATTTGCAATAATATTTTGAATAAAATCTGAATTGTGCATTAGTTCTCTTATGACTTTTGAGTCAGTACAAAGTGTAATTAAGTAAACTAAGAAGTTGGTTTACCATTAAGGAGGTTCCGTAACTCATGTGGAATTTGTTCTTTCTTCTCAAAGAAATGTGAAAACCAGATTTTATTGGAGTAAAAATACACATTTATTGATCCTGATCCCATTCAGCAGTTCTTTTCTCACCATTGTTTTAGAAATTGCCTTGGTGTGAAGTGTAATTTTGTTCCCAAAGCTCAAAAAGCTAAGTCATCAGACTTTTTAAGCTGGTTCTAAACAGGACTGAGTTTGGGAAAGATTATTTAACAAGTTGCATCTTTTTGCTTTTTAAGGCAAGTCTGGAGTGTAAACCTACAAGGTAATTTGTTTGTACCTCTTGCTGTGTAAATGCAAGTCAGATGTTCAGTGAGTGCATGCAGTGTTGTACTGCTATAGAACAATGATGCCTAAAAGCTTTATTCTTGCTCCCTATTACAAGTAATTAGTCTTAGATCAACTTCTTAAATGTTAAACTGAAAAGTGCTAAACAGTGCTAGCCTGGCTCACACAGGCTTAAAGTAAAATTTTCATACAAAATACCAACCTACAGCACTTTGGTCCATCAGATTCACAACACGTCTTTGACCTGCCATGGTTGTTCATCATGGCCTTCTCAATATGCGAGAAGGAGAGTCGCCAGGTGTTTCCTAAAGTTGAGTACAAGATTGTTAAATTATTACACAGCAGTAACCGGTGTCTGTAACTAGAGAAAAGAGACACTTTATAATTGACTTAATTTTAAGTATCAGCAATTTCTTTGCCCTTAAAGAAATCTTAATTCACTGACTGCATTAATTCCCGATTCCCCAGCTGCTCCACACAGAGACAATTAGAATCTTATTAATATAGGACACAGTTAATTGTTTGGATACTTTAACTATATTCTTAAGGATGCTTGGATTTACTTTAAGCTTAATTCTGGACTTTCCTGCATTTGTTGAAAGTGATTTGGGGAACTGCACTACTCAAAGAAATCTACTACCTTTTCAATTTCTACTCTGTATTATTAGCCTTACTGCGTAACCATTCTGGTTTTGAATAACAAAATCTTCACCATTGGTTTCAATTTCTCTGTACAAGTAGTTTGTCTCAAGTAAGGTGACTTTCTAAAGCATTTCTTTTTGTTCTTTAGGTAGCGTTCTGAAAACAAATATTAACATAGCTCAACCCCATTTTTAAAACACCAGCAATCATAAGTTCCTTACATAAGTTAGACTGTTTCCCTTGGCTGTTCAGTTCCGTTAGTCTTTACATTTAATTTTCACAGTGAGAGATAGCCCAGTAGAGCAGTAATAATTGATTTGGCATTATTAAGATGGGCATGCTAATTAAAAAAAAAGATTGCCTGAACTCTTTTTGCTGAAGTTGTTAGTTCTCATACTGCAGTAACAAGTTGAGATGTTTCTGCAAACCAGTGTAGGCTAGGTGTGAGTGGTCTGGATTAAAAAAATAGATTGCAGCCATACCAGAGTTCAATGAGAAATAATGTATCTTTCTAGAAAAGTAGTTTATATCCTGCAAAAGCATATAACCCGTGTATGCAGTCCCACTTACAGGGATGTTCCCTGCCTTTTTAGGTATCTCCCTTTAATTAAAAGGAGTGCATGTTGCTGTTAAGTACAGCTCTAGCACAAGAAAGGTCCCATATCCATGTGTCTGACAGTAGATTTAATATAATGGGCTTAGGAATGGTCAATGTACAGCCTGGCAGAGCAGTTTTGTCTTTAGATTTCAGTGCAGGACAAGCAGTGTCACAAGTCTGATGTTTTAAAGAAGGATTTCAGTTGTCTTTGATATCCAGGATAAGATAAAGATCTGTACCTTGAAGGCAGATTAATTAACAGAATCTGGATACCCTTTTTATCGCACTTGTGATTGAGTTGAAGAGAAGATATTTCATAACTTAAATTTACTATCTGTATCTGAGGTACCTTTTAGAACCTTTTCGTTTTTATTTTGTTTGGCTACTAAATAAAGTGATTCATTTCTGAACTTTCCCCTGACTTTTCTTCCCAGCCACTGTTCAATTCTGAGGCCATCCTGTGTGCAGGGAGGCCAGCTCTGCTGAACTTCCAAAGTCAAGATGATGTCCACTGATATTTCTGCTGGAGGATTTTTGATCAGAAGAGTTATTGCAGGGCTTCCAGGCTTTTTCCTTTTCACAGACACTTCCACATCTAGTAACAAAGAAGACATTTATTTTTATATATTAGAAACTTTTTTTGAAAAGAATGCTAAGGTTTTTACTTAGGAGAATTTGCAATTGATCAAGAGAAAACCCGGGTTCCACCACTGGCTCTTTATCCTACAGGATATGTATTTTAAGTAAAACATTAAGGTGACCTGTTGAGGAGTTCTACAAAATAAAGAACACTCTTCCGGAATTGCTGTGTTTGCTTGATTTACTGTGTCTACAGAATCAGAAATACAGCGATACTTTCCAGTGAACTGCTTGACTTTGAAAACAGTGAGACTGAAGAGATTTGGCCACATTGTTTCTGAAGGGTTAGAGTGCCCTAAAAGGTGATGTTTTCTATACAGACTGATTATAAAATATTAGGTAATGTATAAAAGCAAGCTCTTCCTTCTGCTGCCAGTTCAGCAAATGGCTCTTTGTACACAGCAGATAGATTCACAATACGTAGGTCATGTAGGAAGTACCAAGCATGACAGAACCCTTCATATTCATTATTTTCATATGGAAAGAGGACTGCATAGTGGAGCAGTGGGTTAATCACATAATACGATTAGCTGTGATGCACTGGAAATGATTCTTAGCACAAGAGCAAAGTTGAGATACCAGGGACAGAGGGGTTAGTTATAGAGACAGATGACTGGCGGGAAAAGCACATTTTATTAATAACAGGGCAATCCATATGTGCAATGTAACTATTTTTAGCACTCCTATGTGAAGCTTGTTCTCTCAGTACTTACCTTTAATGTTTTTTACTTCTCGTTTAATAATTTCTCGTAGTGCTTGAAGCATTTTAAAGGCTGATAATTTTTTATCTTCATCTAAAAACTTCAACAAATGCTTTTCTTTTTGATTTCTTTTCAATGTTAGATAGTAATAAGCTCCAGTGTCATCACATTCATCCAGCTGAAGTCTTTCAACGGGCATTAAAAGCATGATGTCAAACTCATTTGGTTCAGATATCTGCAAAGCATGAGAATTCAACAGTCAATGTACAACTTGGGTTTAGTCTCTTTAGGCTTTTATACCAGCTGCGGTATTACCTACAACTGCCTTGGTGTAATTCTCATGTCTGGTGTGTAATACGAGCTTATTTCTGTCGATTTGTACTACAAGATTGCTGTGCATTCAAGTGGAAAGAGCAATTTACTGATAGCAGTTAATTTCCCAGCTTTCCAACTTACTAATTTTTCAGAGAGTTTTAAGATTCTTAAGATGTTCTGAGTAAGGCATAAATGCTCTTAGTCATCCTTTTGCACACAGGAATCAGCTGTGAGGAAAAGAAAATGCATCGCTGTGCCTGAACCTGATTAAAAAAAAAATAAAAAATATGCATCCCCATATTTGACTTAGCTTTTTCGATTGAGCTAGAACTAGAAAAAAGGCACTGCTGTTTCTCCTGCTTTTGGGAAAAAATGGCACAGGGCCTTTCAGGCAGTGCTATACCCTACTCGTCCCCCGGCTACTCTGGGCTTACCTGCGCGCTGTGCAAGGGCAGGGCTTGCTGCGGCCCGACAGCGAGCCGCGTTCGGGCAGCATCTCTCACTAAACGCACGGACGTCATTCATTAAATTAGCGAAGTTACAGTTGCTTGTTGTTAATGTAGCAATCCTTAAAGTCCTCCTCGCCGGGAAGCGCCCGCAGCTCACTCGCGGCTGTTCCCGGGCGGCTGGAGTGGCGCG